ATAGAAGTCCATAGAATTTTGAGCTAAACTGAAAATTCAGTTATTTTAGTCAGCTTTGTAAGAACTTCAAATTATAATTTTATTTATTTATTTTTTCTTTTTTTTTTCACTTATTTTATGCAGACAGTTGTGAGAGTAATCGGAGAGCATTTGTGTCTCTGCTTTCTATTCCGTCTTTGTTATCAATAAGTTCTATGAACCATTCCCTATATGTTTAGCTATTACTATCCAAGTAGAATAGTTGTATAATAATCAACCTCTACTCTAATTTTCATTTGCTGCTTACTACTGAAAACATACTGCAATATTTAGTGCAATGCCTCTATATTTATTCAATACAATAATATCAACATGAATATTAAATAATACTAATATCAAGGCAAACAGTAGGTAGATCTCAAGCAACACAAGCTTAAACTTGCATATATGTATATAATATTGCATTTTAAAAACAAATTAAATGTTGAGTGCATGCGCGACTCTTCGTGGTCTCAAAAGTTTTGCCTGCCAGTTGGGCCAACTCACTGACTATGCAAAACGTTTTAAGTTATGCGCGTGTGTGTCCCACAGCACACACACACACATATATACACACAGTAATAACAGCTATAACAACAGAAACAGCTCGCTGGCCCCGCCTTTCCCACTAAATTGCACCTTCAAAGGCAGTCGCTGACGCCTTCGCTTGGCAAAAAAAAAAACATGAAAATAAAGCGCGAAAAAGTGGGAAATGAGGATGAAGAGATGCGGGGAAAACTGAGAAGCCAGAAGCAAAGACGAAGGCGAAGGCGAACAAATGAAAGCAAGTGAAGTCAAATTAAATTAAATGACAGATGTCTGACATTTTGATGGTGTGTCAGTGTGTGCGTGTGTGTGTGTTTGTGAGAATTTAATATAAACACATGCAAATAATATACACACTCACACGCAGACCGGGTGTCAGGCAAAATGCACATGGACTTGCCCTCGAAGACCGTGGCACAAGGGGCGTGGCCTCACATTGTGCCGCTGCTGCAGTTGTGCATGTCTCCAAAGTGTTGCCCGCGTAAGCGTAATGAATTAAAATAACTTGATTGCTTCAAATTGAACGAATTGTTGTCGAAGAGAGAGAGAGAGAGAGGGAGAGAGAGTGGGAGAGAGTACAAGCGAAAAGTCGCTCTCTGGAGGCTGAGTCTCGCTTTGGTCTGGCACTTGGCTGACAGTTCTAAGAGAACTCAGCGGAAACTGCAGCAGCTACGTGACTCTGTGTATATGTGTGTGTGCTTGTGTGTACGAGTATAAATATTTACTGAAATTTGTATATTAAGTGACGTCGCAAGCGGCGCCAGTTGCTGCTGCTGCCTCTGCGCTCATTGTTGTTATTGTAGTTGTTAGCAATGGCAAATGGCATCAGCAGCGTGAAGTCATTCACACACACACTCACACACCGATAAGCCTTATATGAGTGTGCGTGTGTGTGCTATAATAGAAGTCACGCTGCATGAATGAGCGCATAAAGAACGCGGCTAACTGTGTGAGTGAGTGTGTGTGTGTGTGGGCGTAACAAGGCACAGCGAAGACAGACACTCAGAGCAGATCGTTGAAGATATATTGTCTCTGCGGGCAGACAAGTGCGCGAATTTATATACAGCAACAGTGCGTATTGCCTAAGGTGGTTTTGTTTTCTAGAGAGTTATGTATCTTGGGGAGAAGAAGTCGATATATTTGTTTGTCGCTCCAATTGCTGTCTAAATAACCTAATATATTATACAACATTTACTGTGAATTACTTTTGAATAAGAGTTTGAAGAGTTAATATATTATCTATTGTGAATTTAGGAGTTAGTTGTGTTTTTAAAATTTTTTAAAATACACTAAAGTATATGTAGCTCCAAATTATTATTATGATATATTCATTTTAAATGCATAAAAAATATTTATAAATATTTTAGGATTTGCAATTTCTCTACTCAAATCAAAAATTATCAACTGAAACCAAAACTGATGCATTTAAATAATAAGATTTATATTTATTTCTGTTTACTATTTCATTGTATTTTTACTATGCTTACAACATTGATAGCCTATTCAAATAACAAAAATGATTGAAGTTATTAAAATATTCACTTATTTACATAAATTGAGACTTAAATTAAATAGTCAACTATTTCTCTGCAAGCCAAGCGCAAATAAGAAATTTTCTTTGCCTTAAATGATAACTGTCTGACTTAAGAGCTAAGCCTCATTTATATATTTGAACTATTTCAAACAACAATGCATGTGTTTAGTCAAGCTTCACTGTATGCATAGAACTTTTGCACAAATAAATTTAATAATTTTCAGGCACTTAAAAAAAAAAATGATTTGATAAAATTAACATGTGCCGCCGCCCGCACTCAAAGGCACAAAATTATTCCATTAAATTAAACAGTAAATGTTGAAATTATGCCAAAACTTGATGCAAGTCACTCACACACATACACACAAACACACACACACTGACATAGAGAAAAAGAGACAGATGCAGTTAGAACATTTGGCGCTTAAAATACAATTTACACGGCTCGCTGATCTCAACTTTGTTTTGTGTTCGTCTGCTAACTATTTGCATCTCGCTTGCACTTGCGTGTGTTTGCACATTCATTTGTTATTGCATAAATAATTATTGTTTAATTTGCTTGCCTACTTGCTGAAGTGCAGTACATAAGGATTTTGTAATGAAGCTGTTTGTTTGTTTGTGCCTGACTGACAGACACAGTCACAGCGGCTGACAGTGCAACGGCCCAGACATCAGAGGCAGCGCTAGCGAGCGAGAGAGATAGAGAAACAGAGAGAGAGAGGGCGGAAAATTATGCAAATTCTGTTGAGCAGTTTTTAATGTGGCTGGCGTGGCAAGCATTTTAATGCAGTAGCAGTTATTTTAAATATATTTATACATTTGGGATTTTGTCTTACAATTTATAATTTATAAACAGCAATAAATAGTTTTCAAACTATTAAAATTAAATATCGATAGTATATAAATATCGATTACGGACCCACCTGAATTCGTATATCGATTGCGGCATATATTCCACGTCAAGCGCTTGCAGTCCGAAGATTTTTTATTTTAATTTGTTTGAGTTGAGCGCAATACATTAAAAATGGTGAGCTTGCTACAGGAAATCGACACAGAACATGAGGATATGGTTCACCATGCGGCGCTTGACTTCTATGGACAGCTACTGGCTACCTGTTCGTCAGACGGAAGCATCCGAATCTTCAACTCCCGTAAAAACAACAAGGTTCTCACTGAACTGAAGGGACACCAGGGTCCTGTGTGGCAAGTAGCATGGGCACATCCAAAGTTTGGCAGCATCTTAGCATCGTGCTCCTATGATCGCAAAGTAATTATTTGGAAGTCGACTACACCCAGAGATTGGGCTAAACTGTGAGTGTCTGTTGTTTGTATATGTGTAATGCGTGTCAATGTTTTATGTTGACGTTATCTGTACCAGCAACAGATGTCGTCTATATTTAGATTCAGTTCCCCAATTATTGTAATTGCATTACATTTCAGATATGAGTACAGCAATCATGACTCCTCGGTCAATTCCGTGGACTTTGCGCCTCCAGAATATGGTTTAGTGCTTGCTTGTGCCAGCTCGGATGGTTCGATTTCAGTGCTCACCTGCAACACGGAGTACGGTAGTTGGGATGCCAAGAAGATACCCAATGCTCATACAATTGGAGTTAATGCTATTTCCTGGTGCCCGGCACAGGCACCCGATCCAGCCTTTGATCAGCGAGTCACTTCACGCAATACCGCCGTAAAACGTTTGGTCAGCGGAGGGTGCGATAATCTCGTTAAGGTGTGGCGTGAAGATAATGATCGCTGGGTTGATGAGCACCATCTCGAAGCACATTCCGATTGGGNATATTTTCAATAACTCATTTTTCATAAAATATTTGTATATTTCTATATTATATATTATTCTGTAGTTAATTAAAAAAAAAAAAATATTTTCACATATAATTTTGTTTCCATTTCGATTTGCACATATTTAATTTATCCACACAAGCTGTAAAACTAACTTTATTATTTAGATTTAGTTTGACTTTCCCTTTGAGTGGTTTTTGATCAAAAGCATTTACTTTACTATTATATTTATGTAGTATTTATTTTTATTGTATCTCAAATATTTATTTCATTTTTATTAGCCGAAAAATTGCGCATGGCAAATTTGTAATTTATTTGCATATTTTCGAGCTAATTTTGCAGTTGACAAACGAAATTCCATAATAATGCTCGGTATTTTTTTGCACGTTTCATGGATATGTATAAATATATGTTAATTCAATTGAATATGTTGTTTATATACACACAAATATACATATATAGATATGTATATGTAATTTTTTTTTTTATTATTTTATTTACATTTTTTATTAAGTGACTGGAAATGGTTTAATTACTTGTAATTTATATTAATTAAAGTGAATGGAAAATTGTGTTTTTGCTTTATCCTGTTTGAACTGTTTAACTGTTGAGCTGATGATATGCCAGCTTATTGATTTAAGTCACTTCCTGTGCCTAACTGATACGATATGACTCTCCATGTATGTGCATGTGTGTGTGTGTGTGTGTATGGTTGTATTTAACACACTAACACGCTTAAATCATTATAGCGCGCCACAGAAAAAGGAAACTTGTGCAAACACACACGTAGACACATTGAACACGCAGCCAGCATACACACTCGAAATGAAAGGGGTAAGGGGGTAAGCGGGTGGCGTTCCCAAAACGAGGTCAATGTGTGCACACGCTCTGTGCTGTGTGTGAGAACTTCAAGGATATACCGTTGCAGTAGTATTGCGTTTTATATTTTCACTATTTTATTTTCTGCTGACGCATACGAAAGCAGCAGCGCAGTGTCTGTATGTGTGTGTGTGTCTGTGTCTGTGTCTGTGTGTGTATCCTGCGGCTGATGAATCAACTTTTGCCTTTTACTCAAGTCACGAAACACAAACGAAACGAAATCAAACCGAAAAACAGAGCCAAAGTCGAGGCTTACATTTGCGTGAAAATCAGACACAATTGAGCACTGTCAATGTTTTCCTTTCTTTCCCTGTCTCGCACAGGACACGGGCTCTTATGCCCATAAAAGTCGCTTGATTAAACGAATCAGCTGACTGGCCGACTGGTTGGCTGGCCAACGTGACGTATACGCAATGTCTACAGCAATACCAGCCGTAGCCGTTGCCGTTGCCGTAGCCGTTTGCTTTAGCTGCTTCATTGAATCCTTTGAGGCGGCATTGAACCTTTTAGTGCTAATTGCTTGTCGAGGATAACGAGCACTGCTTTTCAACTGCGACACGCTCTAAACGGGCATTCACACTCGCTTTTCTTTTCGCTTTTCTGGTTGTAGGCATTTGCATTTAATCCACTTGCTTTGACCTACGCGGTGCGACTAAAGCCAACGCAAATGTTTAGCTTAAAGCGTATAGCCGCAGTGGCAGCAACGACGCAGCGACGCCGACAGCGGCATAGCTAGTTAGCGTGCCAAGTAGCAACAATATACATAACAATAACAACAACAACAACAACAACAACAACAGTAACTACAATAATAGTAGCTAAAGCAACACGCATACACACCCACAATTTCCATGCTCAAGTTCCATCGAGCAGCTCATTTATACATGGAGTAGACAGCGCTGTTTTGTGGTCACACACATGCACACGCACGCACACACACACCCACACTGCTCATGGGTGATATATATATGGTGTAGCTGGGATTGGGCTGCGGCTTAGCCTTTAAACTGTATGTGCACACACATTATTAGTTTAGGTACGTCTGGACTTGGGTCACTGCTACGATTAACCGTAATAGGCGTCAATTGGAAAATTGCCAGTGATAGCTGCGGCTGAGCCAAAGTCTGAGACATATCATTGAGAGGTTACTAATAGATGTGTATCTATATGTATGTGTATGCGTATGGGTGTATGCAATATGTGCATGGTTTGAATTTATAGGTCCAAGTTGAGCCTAACTGACAGATAATCTCTCAGGCAAGGTGCTCATATAGCAGATATAATACCATTCAGGTTGTTTTTATAGTGCTATTGCATTCACCTACTACCAGATGCACTTATGTGTGTTACGAATTTAGCTATAAACTATTTTTACACCCTGAACCCATTTTCAATGGGAAATTTTCCGGGAATTATTTTTAGCAAATTATCTATTTTTCTTTACTATAAATTTGATCACTGTTAATCAATCAAACTTAATTTTCCAAAAAACTAAATACTTATACATAATAAATTTTTATTTTTAGGTATGAAGCTTTCAAATCGTCACTAAATGTAAGTTCTAAGTAAATTAACAACTTTCTAGCTATTACGATGGTCGCTATACGATAAGATCTAGCCAGTCAATCAATCAATCAAGTGTGAATACGCCATCTAGAGAATAAGTTTACAAAAACAATTGTTCAGTTGACTATATATATATTTGTATATATATTTAAATGCGATATAATGAGTTGCATATATGCTCTCAACTTCAATCAGTCAGATTGATTGATACCAAATGATTAACATTACTAATTAAGTCCGATAAGATTTTTAAATATCTCTACTACTATTAAAAACTTTCCCTTTTTTTTTGCCAGTGTATCATATCTGTAAGATATTAGTATGTTTTACAGCTCTGATACCCTAACAAAAGACAGCGAAACTCAMTGTCGCTTTTCACTCAACTCAGCTCAGCTCAGCTGTTGTGATTTATTTGATGCTGGCTCCCGGCCTTATGTAAATATTTGATGACATTTGTACGGGCGTTGCGGCTTTGCACCCCTTTCTTTCTTACCGTGTAGCTCATTGAAAATTCAATTTATTTTCGGGGCAATGCAAAAAGAATGAAAGAAGCAGAATAGGAATTTTAGAAATTTACATTACTTTTGGCATTGATTTGCCCCCTGGCCACACTAGCTGTGGGCGTGCTGGGCAGTGGGCGTGGTAGCAGCTGCGATCCTCTCCTATTTTTTATTTATTTTCTACATTTATTTTTTTTTTTTTTTTGTTGCCGTCTTAGAACTTTTGTAAATCATGGCGCAATTGTCTTAATTCGAAAATTGCAGCTTCGCAGCTGTGGACAAATTGCGGACATGCACGAGCACGCATCTGGCAATGATAATGTCGTATCTGTAGCTCAATTTGTAAATGTATCTGTATCTGTAGCTGTATCTGTCTCTGGAGATGTACATATCTCGAACTGTATCTTCGTGATGAGTGACAATTGCAACATCGTGTTTGCTTATCTGCGTGCCCATCGCAGCAAACGTTTAAAGCCCAACATTTTGCCTGGCTTCCAGAGTGAAATATGACAGGCGCTTGACGCTTGACCTTTGACCCTGAGCACCGACCGGACCGCGCCGACCTGGGCCGACCGGCCGGCTTGCGTGCCCCAGACCAATAACAGAAAAATTACCGCTGCATAGAACATTGAACGCATCGCGAAGCGGCATTAAAGCGCGCAGTCACATTTTGTTGCTTTAATGGGCTTTAAACTTTTATTATTATTAATGTTATTAGTTAATTGCATTTTATATATACATATATACATAAACAATATATATATATAAATTAAATACATAAACAATATAATTTAATTATGCGTCGCCTTTTGTCATGTGATTGAACCGCAAAGCGTCTGACTGAAATGGGCGTGCATTAAACCAGTTGGCGCTTACATTTGTTTTTTTGAATGATGAAAAAAAAAAACCCCAACAACAACAATTAATATGACAACAAGAGCATTTTTTTCAACAGCTTAGACAGACTGGCAGCATCCGAGCTGAGATCACGTGCGGTTTGTTTGTCTCACAAGCTGCGGCTGTCACTCTTTACTCAAAATTTAGCACAAAACACAATGTGAAAGTTTTTTTGAAAAAAATCGAATTGAAGCTACTTCGTATTCATTATGAAGCCAAGATCCAGATTTTTTTTTAATTAAACAAATATTTGAACACAAATTTAAACAACAATAAGATATTTATAAAGTTTTTTTTTGAGTTTAGCATTCTAGTTTATTTGGCTTAAGCCTTGAGCAAACTAATTTTGATTTTTTTATTTTTCATATTTTTATTTGAGTTGATAAAATAATAATAATAAAAATATGCTCATTTTTTTAAATCTAGTGAAAGCTTAAAAAATCAAATAAAATAAAAATACAAAAAAAAAAAATTTTTTTAAAATTATTGAGTATATTTTAGTCCAACATTCACATTCTCTATACTCTATAATTTTTTTTTTTTTTTTTTTGTATTTTTATTTTATTTTATTTCTTGACAATATTTCTAGCTTTCTTTTTTTCTATAAAATATGCATATTTAGCAATAATAAATTTATATACTTCCAACAAAGTTATTTTTTTTATCTTGTAGTTGTGCAATTATAATCGTGTACATTGCATCTAAAATATCTAAACTTTTTTTTATGGTTATTTTGGCCTTGTTTTTTTCTGTTTACACTGACAATTGACAGCTGCTTTTTTTTGCTAAACAATAGAATTCATTGAATGATGATGAGCTTCATTTCACCTGAATTATATTTTTTTATATTATATATTTTAAATATAAACAAATTATTGTATATATATAGTTTAATTTGATTTTTTTTTTTGTTGAAATTATCAACAAGTCGTAGCACATGGCTAACATGATTAACATCTATTATTTATTATTATTTAGTAGCGATTGTAAACATGGACAGACAGAGAAAGAGACAGATAGAGGAACATAGATAGTTACAGAGCGACAGCTCAGCTAATTAGAAGACTAGACAATTTGTTGAAATGTTAATTATGCTTCAGTTCGTTGCAAAAACTGTGTCAATTGTTGTAAAAACTAAAATGGATTTTCCTATGCCCGAAAGCCATTA